ACATAATAGGTGTATTCTATTTTTTAAAATAAGTATTTTAATTATAATACCTTAATTCCTCAGTTAATAATCTAGTACAAAAAAATAGATGTAACACGCATAAATAAAAGCTCTTTGGGGTTTGCAGTATTTTAAAAAATGTAAAGGAGTCTGTGACCACAAGGACTGAGAGTAACTGTGCTAGAACCATACTGCTAAGACTTGGTAGGCCTTGGAAGAAATGCAGTAGACTCCAGATGTAAGCTGCTTTTCTTCCAAACCCCATGTGTCATCACTAACCTCAGAATTAAGATATTTAAGAAATAAACAAGATTTTCAAGTTCATATCATTTGTAGTACTTGATTAGTAAAATAAAAGACACTGACATACTTGACAATCTTTTAATAAGAAATCTAATTCCTTTTAAAATGCAGGAACTTACACATATTGAAATCTAGGTAAATAGCTAAATCTTATATCTGGCTTTAAGAGCAGGAATGACTTGTCTGTGGTCCAGACTATTGAGCTACCATATCAGTAAAACAAATAGCCTTCTTCAATGTAGAATTCTACTCCTGAGCTAGATTTCAACTGCTCCCAAGACAAATAAAACCACAATCACATGAGCCTTAATATTGACTGATGTAATAAGAAATGAATTATAACATATAAGCCTTGTGTCAATAAACTCCATTATTAAAAAATGAAGGTAAAAAATGACACTAAATATTTAAAAGCCTACATTAAAAGTCTACTGTTAAATGTAATAGGATGAGCATAGTTATTAAAAGCATATTTATAATCATTAAGGTCATTTTATTTTAAAAACAAGTAAGCCAGACACAAACAAATACGGAATGATTCCATATGAAGTACCTAGAATAGGCAAATTCCTAAGAAAGAAAGAAAAAAAAAAAAAAGGCAACCGGGGGCTGGTTGGAGTAAGTAGAAGGGGTTGTTGTTTAACGAGTACATAGTTTTTGTTTAGATGATGAAAAAGTTTTAAGTGCAGATCCTACTGATGGTTACACAACGTTGTGACTGTATTTAATGTCACTGAATTATACATTTACAAAATGGTTAAAATTATAAATATTGTGTTATATATATTTTACCACAATAAAAAAATAAAAATCAACTACTCTATAACACTAATCCTTCCAATTTTACAAATTTTCTTGTAATAAACAAGTATGTCAGAACTAGTTTATTCAGTAAACAGACTTCTTAACACAAACCAGGCAAATAGGAAAACCTCAGTGAGAAAAACCTGGGCTTTTTTTTTTTTTAATTCGGATTCCTGTTCTTTACAACCTTCCTTACCCACAGATTTGTATATATGCATGTACTTCAACATCAAGGAAATACTTAAAAAGAAAGAAAAGGCTTTTAAGACATGTTATTGGGGTGAGTACACATAATCCAATAATATAGCCTTCCTGACATAGATAATAAATGATTCTTTTCAATACTGTTAGTAAACAGGCTTTCAAGCAAAACTGCCTAGATTAGAATTCTGGTTCTGCTTGCTACTTTATGGCTATTACTTAAACAACTTGAGCCCCAGTGTTTCCTCATCTGTAAAATTAGAATATCTATTTCAGATGCTATAAAGAATAAAAGTGAGTTAATACAAGAAGTATGCTCAGAACATTTTCAATAGTAAGCATTCAATAAATATTAGCTATAATTTTATTATTACTCAACCAATGCATGAAATCACACTAACTTAATAGATATGGTTCACTAGAAACTGAAAATAGGTTTTCTGAAAATTAAGAAAGATTTTGAATACCAGTTTGTTTTCAACAAGAAACCAGATTAAACATTTTCTCTTTTAAAAATTCCAAAAGTCTCAACAGGTCCCTTAAAAGTTTATTCTGCTCCCCAATACAAAAACTCCTATACTTTTCATACTAATCTATTGTGGCCAGAAATACTTTGTTCTGCTTCTAAGGTTTCATGTATGTTTGTAGATGTGTGTTTGAGAAGAAGAGGAGGCAAGATACCTTTCCTCTCCTGTTAACTATCTGACAGTAATGATATAAGTAATGATATATTGAGTCCCTTGAACGAGCATTGTCTACCACACCTCTTCAATGCTAAGAAGTAACTATCTACTTACGTTGAGAATCAACTATAGAGTTGACTAAAAATTTTATCCTCCAAAATAGGGCACTTGTGAGTGAATAATAATCATGCAAGGATAAAAGGTATAAAGTAGGATTGTTATAGGCAAATCTGGATATCACTATTTATGAAAGAACTGGTTAACACCCAAAAATATGGGCTCAATATATCATTACTTATTTGTCCCACCATATATAGGACTATAGTTTTAAAAACTAATGCATTTGAAACTTAACAAAGGCAAAATTAAAATGTTTAAATTTTCAAAAGTTTTTTTCCCTTTTAGTATTTCTCAGCAAAGCACAAAGAAAACCTAGGGTTTCTACTAAAAAAATGGAGCTTACTTATTAAGGCAATGCTTACAAAAGACTCCTGAGCCACAGTGCTTTCTTTCATTAGCTGCATATGATTTTTCTGTTTGTTTTGCTTTGTTTTTAAAGAAATATTGATGAGAGAGAAACATTAATTGGCCGCCTCCTGTAAGTCCTCTACTGAGGATTCCTGGATATGTACCCCAATCAGGAAATGAATTAGTTATACTTCTTGGTACATGGGGCGATGCTCAACCACTGAGCCTTACCCGTCAGGCTAGGTGCATATAGTTCTTAAGGTGATATAAATGACAGCAAACTCAAGAGAATATACTGTAACCAGGTGGTTCTTTGGCAAATGATGTCAAAATGTGTCTTTAATTAAAACCTACTGCTATGTATCTATGCAGCTATAGTGTTATTTAAAGCCAGTGCCCATTCTGATTTTGTGACTATACCAAGTGTAAATCTGAAAATCCCCAAGTTATAGTTATATGTTTCTAACTCAATCAGCTAATATATTTGGAAAATTTTAAATATACACAAGATATTTATGATTAGCACTGTGGGGAAACACTCTCTTCAACAGCTCACAAACTAATAAAAATGAGAGGTATTTCAGTTAGCCTCCACTTACACAAATATTTGATTTTTTTGCATGAATTGGTTATCTTCTCTCACCTCAATCCAGCAAATATACCACAGTTAGATATTGCTTAAACTAGCATAAGAATTAATCTATATTTGTATTCCTTAAATGTGATAGGACCTTATGGAAGTATAATCTAAAAATAAGCATTAAAGGAAATCAGGACAGGCACTTAAAATATGAAAAGCATGTACCTGAAAATTAACATTAAATATAGTTTATGCAACAAAAAATAACCTGTTACAGAATTCTACAGATGTGAACATTATTAAAAGATTCATTGTACTTTAAAGAGATTATATTACAAAAAATGGAAGTATCATTTTGAAAAAAGCCTATTTCAGATAATGCCAGTGCCTATCAGCAATATCTCTCAAAGCTACTAAATATTCTTATAGCAATTAGATATTTATTTTTTTCATCACTAATACACATCACCACTTTTAATAAACAGCTAGTACTGAACTATATAAAATGGGAATATACTATTTAGCTAGTAAATAAGAAAATCCTTCTATAATAAATTTAGTACCTAGTAAAGTATAAATACAATTATAAAGCAATCTAGCATAAGGTCTATTATTACATATACATATTAATCATCTTTTAGTCTCATTAAGTCAAATATGTTCAAAATTGACTATATATTTTATCTTTTTTCAGAGAACAAAGAAATCATTTATGAATCATTAAGTCATTACCTTTTTATTTAGTTAATTCTCACAATATTAAAGACACAAGAATCATGGGTCCAATCACAATTTCTGGCTTATGTTTGAGAACAAAAATTCTTATTGGACCAAGAATTAACTGAACATCAGAATAATGTTGCCTGGTGTAAGGACCGCTATCCTTATTCAGTTTTCTCCTTTATTTTAAGAAAACAAAATTCTCTTTAGCCAGAATAATTTTTCATAATTTTTAATCCTTTGAAGGTAGAGGTGACAATGAAGGGAACAAAAGGTATTTTAGCTTCAGGGCAGATGTGATAACATTTACAGACGTAGGATTACCATAATCTGATCATAACTGGCACCTTAAAACAAAGACAGCTCTCTTATAAATGTGAAGTAAGTGGTCACAGCTCTTAAATATAAACTGACATATACTACAATCTTAACATATACTATACATTCTAATTAGGATCAATAGCTAATATTTACCATTTTCCTAGGCATTCTCCATAGGAAAAAAAAAATTATTATCTAAATCTATCTTGTTAGGTTCATTAAAAATTGGTTAAGGAGGTAAATATTAAAAGCTTATTGGAAATAAAATAAAGGCCACCGAATGAAAGGTTGAAAGTATAAATTTTGGGGACTAGTTGTAATATTTTTTATTGACATTAATCTAGTTTTTAATAAATAATCAAAAGTGGCTACAAGTATAATAAAAATTTACATTAATTTTCTGCCTCACTTAAAAGAAATACCAGGTACCTGGCATCCAGAAATAGTCTCCTAAAAGGAAACCAGTATAAAGACGACAACCAGACTGAGATTTTCAATTCAAAAATCTCTTCATGGTATATAATTTTTTTTCTAACCTATTCCAATTCTAAAAGCATCTTTAAAAAAATTTTTTTAAACAACATTGTTTATAATTCAATATGGGTTTATAAATATATAATTAGTAGCTTTAGTTTGGGGAATATGATCTTTTTGGATCATTTTAGTATCTCTACATTCGTCTCAATTTCTGTATAGTGTTTCTGCTATGCTGAAATAGCAAGACATGTATATATCTGTTTCAATGTAAATCTACTGAAGACAATATAATTTCATAATCTATTACTTTTAATGTAATGCAATCAATGAAAATGTTATTTTCAAATATATATATTTTAATTGTTAAATTCAAAATAAAAAACATTCATGGATTATTATTATTTTTTTTTTTTTCAAAACCAAATATTTTATGTACTATTTACCTGGTGGTGGAATCAGAGGTGGAGCAGTGCTGACAGTTGGAGGAGGTGGAAGAAATGGAGGAGGTGGGAGGTGGGTAGGAGGAGCTCCTGGAGGGAAAAATGGAGGTGGTTTGCTAAAATTGTTGTCTACTTCAGAAGCAGATCTTTCAGAAAGGACCTAAAATTAGAGCATAGTTTATTTTTAAAAAATAAATAAACATTCTTATCTGCAATTAAACTCAAGCAAGTTAATTTCATTTAATCTAAGAATCAAAGAAAAAAGCTTTATTCTCATACACATATTTTGAGGAGAGTAATTTTCTGAGTGATGTGTATGTATATACACAGATGTCAGTATACACTATCACACACATACTTAAAGCCCAGGAAAAACAACTGACATCATTACAAAAAAAACTTCTGAATACAACATAATTGATAAAGCATTCTAAACAAGAGACAATTAAGTACTTTACAAATATAATGTAAGAAAGATTATCTTTGTTACCCAACCAAGTTAAGAAAAGTATTCAAAAAGTTAAAGTATAGTTTAGGGGGTGGGGAAGGGAGGAGGGAAAGAAAGGGGGGTGGAATGGAGCAGTGGGGAAGAAAGGGGGACATCTGTAATTCAACAGTGAAAATTAAAAAGAATAAATAAATAACAGTAACATGGCAGCAGAACCAGATATTCATTGCAATAAGTCCTATCATCACCACGTTGGAAAGTAAGAAACTGTAAAGCATGCATCAACAAGATGCAAGAGGCAGCCAAATATGTAAATAATTTTTCATCTAAAAATATAATAAAGTACTAAACCTGTATGTTGCTGTTTTCATTTGCCCGTCGCCTCCCTTCAACTCGGCTGATGGTTATAGTCTGACCAATAACATCAATTGACCCAGGTAATCTCCTGTAACATAAAAATTCAATCAATTCACTTTCACCTAATTAGATGGTTAAAAATAACCAAATATCAATTGAGAAATAAATCTAAAACCCTTTGCAATGTACTTTAAAATCAGCTTATAATACACACTGAACACACTTCACTGAATTAGATTTCCCTAATCTGCTGTCATAAACACAAAATCTTATTAATAAACCTATGCCAACACATCCAATGATGATATCAGATTTAAATATTTTATAGGTTTTCTTCTAAATGCACCATTTTTTAATAGTATCCAACTGAATTTATCCTTGTGGAATTGAATCAGGTAATAAATGCTAAACAAATGGAAACAAAAATTTTGTGCCACTATAATTATAACACATAACACAGTTCTATTCAGAAACTTTTAGAAATTCCCCAAAAGGGCCTGAAAATACTTATTTTGATACACACAGGATATCTTCCTCAGTTACTTATTCCGAGCATTAGAAAGCACAAAAGGAACCAGTTTTACATTTCTGATAACTTGCCTTTAGATAGAAAAATTCATGTCCGTCACACCTCCAATTGTATTTACAATTCATTAAAGTATATGAATAGATGGAAAATTGTCTACCATAAAATGCTACAAATTCATTGCAGCAACCTGGATGGAATTGGAGAACATTATGCTGAGTGAAATAAACCAGTCAATGAAAGAAAAATACCACATGATCTCACTCATTTATGGATAATAAGGAACATTATAAACTGATGAACAAAAGGATACAGAGACAGGCAGCTGACCGATGATTCTCTCTCATCGATGTTTCTAACTCTCTATCCCTCTCCTTCTCTGCAAAAAATCAATAAAATATATTTTTCAAAAATAAATAAAAATATAAATTAATGGAAAAATACATTGGGTGAGGGTTAATCAAAAAGAAAAAAAAGAAACTTATAATAAAGTTAGGCCCACCAAAGTACCATATATCCTTCAACAATTACCAGAGTTAGGTTCTTAAAATGACTAAAAACAGCAGCTACCATTTGTTGAAGGGTATTTATTTTGCCTAAACTTCACAATAATCCTTAACTTAAAAAAAAATACTGTATTCTTGTTAGATATTATAAAGCTAGGGCCCAGAGTAATGTCACTGACTCCCGTAACATTTAAATGGCAAAACTAACTTTTTCAAACTTGTGTCTGATTCCAAAGCATATAGACAAACCCTTCCCTTGAGTCATGATGCCTTCCAGAAAGATAACTGGCCTTCGAGAAATATAAGACTTCTGGAAAATCAAGAATTGGTATGAATTGGTCTCAAGTAAAGCTTGGAAAGCCCCATAATTTTATGTTCACAAGAACAAAATAGCCCTATAGAAAGTGTATAACGACATTTGAAATGTCTTCAACTACACAGTCAACTCTCACTTACTCTTTGCCCACTTACCATCTATTCTCTATATTTTTAATAAAATTATTTTAAAAGTTCAAGCCTTTCTGGTTTTATGCCTTTGTCACTGATTTCCTAGGTACCCTCATAAACTCAAAGACCAAGAATGATTTTACTTAACTTATAGACTTAAATAAGCTGGGAAACTAATCTAGCATGAATGCACACAACTCACATTCATACATCCTAACAATAAAGGTGTATATTCTGAGGCCAGGATTTCTCTAACAATTTATTGCTACATAAACTTCACTGTAAAATCTTCATTTCTACGATTTCCCTTTTCATACTTTTTACTCTCAATTTCTGGATTCTCCCCCTCTCCATCTTTTTAAATTTATTCCAATCAAGAACAATTCTCATAAAATTGTTTGAATTTGCAATTTGGATTGTAAATTTTCCAAATTGTTAAAAGTAGCAAAAATTAAATTTAGATTATTTATTATAATTATGTGCCAGGAAGAAATATTTCTATCATCTTTCACCATGGATTTCGAAGAACTTCTGCTTTCAAAACCTCTGCAGCATATAGGAATACTTTATCTCTTAAAGTTTACTTTTAATATGATCAGAAAAGTCTAATTTTTTTCAGCTTTCAATGTATTATTTCATTACTAGAGATCCATAATGGCGAATACTATACTTCTAAAAACATACAAATGAGAACTTAAATTTAACAAATAGATATCTCTAGAGGGAGTCCAGAAATGTTTGAATGTGTGAATGTGAGTTGTGTGCATATATCTTTGATAGGAAGCTTATAGTGAGCATAGCTTCATCATCATTTAAGTTCGGGGGGAGAAATAGGAGCAATATTTATGTTAAAGGTATTTGGATTTTTCTAATGCATTCATGCTAGGTTAATTTCCCAGCTTATTGAAGTATATAAGTAAATCATTCTTCGTCTTTGAGTTCATGAGGGATCGTACCCTAATTGGAATGACCTGCTGGCTCCAGCTGAGCTTTGCCCAGGCATTGTTAAATACAAATTACTTTACCTTAATCAGAAATGTGAAGGTTACCATTTTGTTTGGAAGCATTTTATGAGAGATAGATAAGCATATACTAAGTAGAGTACATAGTAATACAGATGAGCAATTAAACAATTCAATGTTATTCTGATATTGGAAAAAAGTATTCAACCGTATCATTCTATAAGTTTTGCAGGACTTTTTTTAACTTTTTTTATTTTTATTTTTTTATTTTTACATATTTTATTGATTTTTTTTGCCCCCCTCCCTCCCTCCCACATATCCCCTCCCTCCCCAGAGTTTTATGTCCATTGGTTGTACTTACATGCATGTATACAAGTCCTTCGGTTGATCTATTATCTCCCCCAGATCCTCCTCCCTTCCCCACTGTAATTTGACAATCTGCTTGTTGCTTTACTGTCTCTATATCTATCTTTTGGTTCATCAGTTTATAATGTTCTTTATTGTCCACAAATGAGTGAGGTCATGTGGTGTTTCTCTTTCATTGATTGGCTTATTTCACTCAGTATGATGTTCTCCAATTCCATCCAGGTTGCTGCAAATGATGAGAATTCCTTCTTTTTTATGGCAGCATAGTATTCCATTGTGTAGATGTACCATCGTTTTTGGATCCAATCATCAGCTGACGGGCACCTAGGCTGTTTCCAGATTCTGGCTATTGTAGATTGTGCTGCTATGAACATAGGGGTGCATATATCCTTTCTGATTGGTGTTTCTAGTTTCTTGGGATATATTCCTAGAAGTGGAATTACGGGGTCAAATGGGAGTTCCATTTTTAGTTTTTTGAGGAAACTCCACACTGTTCTCCACAGTGGTTGCACCAGTCTGCATTCCCACCAGCAGTGCAAGAGGGTTCCTTTTTCTCCGCAACCTCGCCAACAATTGTCGTTTGTTGATTTGTTGATGTTGGCCACTCTGACAGGTGTGAGATGATACCGCATTGTTGTTTTGATTTGCATCTCTCGGATAGTGACTTTGAGCATGTTTTCATGTGCCTTTTGGCCTTCCTTCTGTCTTCTTTTGTAAATATTCTATTTAGGTCCATTGCCCATTTTTTAATTGGATCATTCATCTTCCTTTTATTTAGTTGTATCAGCTGTCTGTAGATGTTGGAGATTAAACCTTTATCAGTGGTGTTATTTGCAAATATGTTCTCCCACACCGTGGGCTTTCTTGTTGTTTTGTTGGTTTCTTTTGCTGTAAAAAAACTTTTTATTTTTATGTAGTCCCATTTGTTTATTTTCTCTTTAGCTTCCATTGCCCTAGGGGCAGTATCAGTGAAGAAGTTCTTTTGGCATACGTCTGAGATTTGTAGGACTTTTTATTTCAATACATAAAAGATGTAGTAAAGCTTCATAATGAGAATCTTCCATAACTTGGATTTCCACACAACACAAGTTTAACTGAGCTTAAAAATTTGATCAGTAGGGAAGACAGCTAATGTAGCTATCAAGATTATCTTCCTTATACAGGACTCAATCATACAGTACACAAATGTGAAAGAGACAAATTACATGAGATCTAGTTTCATTAATCTACAGTGTAATATGGGCAGTGAATGCTCTCAAGAGACTATCTTTCCTTCTGGCACAGATGAAAATGAAAATATCTCTGATGCTATAATATAATTAAATTAAAATGATATCCTACATAATAAAAACCTAATACGCAAATCGAACAAATGGTGAAATGACTGGTTAACAACCGGTCGTTATGATGTACACTAACCACCAGGGGGCAGACACTCAATGCAGAAGCTGCCCCCAGCCCGCAGGCCTCACGACAACCAAGGCAAGTACCAACATCTCCCCCCCCCCCCCCCAATCACTCTGCATAAGGTGACCAAGGTGGGGGCCAGCTGGGGAGTGGACCTGTGCGGGCCCGCCAGTTGCCCCACAGATTGGCCCTTATCGCCAGCCAGGCCTAGGGACCCTACCCACGCATGAATTTCATGCATTAGGACTCTAGTGTTTTGGTAATTGTGATGCACCAGAAAGGGTATAAGAGCTGCTTACAGAGATAAAACAAATTTTAAATGACAAAGTAAGAGAGAAAGGAAGATAAGACATGTACAGTATATAAGAAAGATTAAACAGGGAATCATTTAGGGATCTGGAATTAATCCACTTTACATTATTTTCAATGGAAAAAGATGATTCAGTTTTTGAACAAATCACTTCTCGAACAGCCTTCCAGAAGTAGTTAAGTTCAAGAACCAAGTTTCCACTGCATTTAATCCACTAGTAGGTTGCAAGTAAGATATGCATCCAATTAGTTTCATTTTTACAGATATGGAAAAGGGCTCTTTTATTCAGTAAAGTACCAGCACCAGGATTTAGGCTCAGATAAGAACTCCAAAACTTTTCCTTTCTTCAACAATAAGTATTTTCCGTGCTAATTTCTGGGGCCTGAATTTATTGAATGTTTCCTTTTTAAGCTATATTAAAAACAAACAAAAAATTGTAAATGCCTAAAGGTGAAAGATGCTAAAATTTAACTCAATGGAAGACGCAAATGTGCTCATTGGGTAGTCAAGTGTGCTCATTTGTGTACAAAGTATGGAATAAAGCTTTATCTACCATATTTATGCTTAATTTCATTTTAATGTATCCTTGATAGGAAAAGATATTCTGCAGTGAAATGTTTAAAAAAACAAGGCCTTCATATGTCTCATCACATAAAATCTTATAAGCTGCACAATATTGCAATATACAGAGTGATAAATCAAATGCTGTAAAGGTACGGATGCATCTCTTCAGTACATTATTTCATTAAGACATAATAGTAACTGGTGTAAAGGTCTCTCTTAAATATAATGTTTATTTAATATCTAGTTTTATTACTATAAGTTTAATGTTTGTCTATTATAAGAATGCAAGCACATTTAAATAGTTGAGTGGTTCTACATCAAAAACAATTTTACTATTCCTCTTTTCAGATCAGTTAAAAAGCACTGACATTGATAAACAAACTTAACAAAACAATGTTGGATCTGTAACTAATTACCTAGAGGATCAGAATTTGGTATTATAAAATGAAAACAAGACAAAGAAATAAACTAAACATTAGGATAAGTAATCATTCATATTGCCAATTTCATACTGTGTTCACTAAAACGGTTTCATTCTTCTTATTAATTGGCTTTACAAATTACAAATCTGAATTTATAACAGAGTTGTACCAATAAAAGGCCATTGTTATGTACACGTAGTTAGCTTGCAGAACACTAATAAACAAAGTTTGAAAAATACTGTTTTATACAAGAACAAGAATGACATAAGCCCAAGACAACAAGCACAGTAAACCGTGATTTTTGCAGACCTGCATTTAATATACTTCGGATTTAACAAAATTTCTAGTTCATATGTTATATGTAAAAATTAATACCCGGTTAATTTTAAAATGCTTTTAAGCAAGATTTATTTATGTTAGTAATTAAATTAACAGGTTATTTTTTTGTTATTAATTTATTAACAAATTTTAGCAAATTTGCCATATGTTAGAAAAAATACTGTAGCAATTTTGCTGACACAAATATTACATGTCTTCAACTAGTCTACATATTTAAATCCAAGAGTAACCGCTCGGAAAAAATGTTTGGAGAATGATTAGCATGTGATCACACCTTATCTTGTGTGGTGATGGTTCAGTTGTCACATGGCATGACTTTCTACAGCAGTTTTCACGAAGCCATGCCTCAGCTGTGTGCATTTGTTTCCTCACGGTGACTGGTGAATGCATGCATTTACTAGACCTATTCAGTATAAATTTAAAATTACAATAATACATACAGAAAACTTTTCTGGAAAACTCAATTTTTCATACATACTTAATTTCAATAACACAAACATGTCTACATAAGTAAAAACAAATAAACTAATTTGTCAATTTTTTAACATACGTGTTTGGAAAACCTACTTTATGACTTCAGCTTTAACAACACCTCTCATCCAAATTAGTCTATTAAGTTGGTCCGAAGGTTGTGGGTTATTGTTAAGCTGATTAACAAATTAGTCCATTATATCAAGTTTTTACTGTATAGTAACTTAGGAAAAGTATCTCAACCATTATTTGATTGCTCTTTACAAAGAGACTTAAGCAATACTTCAAAAAAAAATACTCCACATTAATTAAAAGCTGAAATCTCATTTTCTATCTCATAAGAAAGTGTGTGTGATACTATTTAAAAAAAGAAAATTACCTTTTACCTAGAGGTTTTATTTTTAATTTTCAATAAATTTATTACTACCTACATTCCCTGAGACTAATCACAAAATCAGAATGAATAGTTTTGTTTCCAAAGTGTCTTTTTATGGTGGGTAGGAGGTGGATTATATAGTGTAAGTATTTCAATGTATCACTTTTAGATCTGAGAATATTTCCTCTGTAAATTATCTTATTTGAAGAAAAATCTGTTATCAAAAGCAACTATTTTAAGTAAAAAATTCCAAGCTAAATGATTGATAAAAAAGGATTTCCAGATGTTAAAATAATATTAGCAAAAGAAACAAATGTAGAGTTTAAAATTACATGAAAAATAATGGATTTGTAAAGTATTTCTATGTCTCTGCTTATGAGTCAACTTGCCTGAATTGCTGATATTAAAGGCTGAAAACATAGACTCTAGCCCTGACTTTGCCTCTTAATTAGCCATAAATTTGGCTAAATTCCCTAATCTCTCAGATCTCATTTTCAATATAAACGAGGGACTAGCCATAAAATAAAATTTTTGCAAATGTAGAAACAGAGGCCTAGCAATTTTAGAGAACTGTCCTTAATTCACATGTACAAAACTCAAACTAATATCCAAATCTGTTTTATGTCATGAAACAGATATAAGTTTAAGAAGATAGTTATTCTTTACATACAAAAAAAAATAACTAATTCATTACCAATAGTAGCATGATGAAAATGAAAGCTCTTATTGTCTGGCCTTTTTCAGATCAGTAAACTGCTTTTCCACAACACTGAACAGATTAAATGTAAATCCAGTGTTTCGTTATATGCTATAATAATGTAATTAGTTATTATATATAGAAATTACACTATAAGCACTGCTATTACATTTTTGGGTTCCACAGAAATACTAAAGGTGGAAAGATGCATAGACTATATACTCCACTCCACACTTGTCAGATCTAACTTTTGTTTAAAATAACTCGAAATTTCCATTGTTTCTTCAAGAATTTTAGTCTTAAAAACTAAGATGAAGGCCCTGCCCAGCTAACTCAGTTGGTTAGACAATCATCCTGATACACTAAGGTTATAGGTTAGATCCCTGGTCAGGACACATATAAGAAACATCCAATGAATGCATAAACAAGTGGGACAATGAAGCAATGTTCTTTTGTTTTTTCTCTCTCTCCCTCTAAAAATCAATCAACAACAACAAAAAAAAAATGAAATGTAAAACATAAAAACTAAGACTAATCAAAACCATATATAATATATCTGAACAAGTGTCAATTGGTACTTTTAAAATAATAGTAAGAGATACAAGTTTTCATTCTATAACCTGTTAAAGCAACACATGCAATTAATACTATTCTAAGAATATAGATAATAAGGATGGGACAAGAGTAGGTTTATAGTTGCTTGTATGAAATTAACATAATAATAATTAATAATATAAGAATAAGTTGTCAGTTTTGTATACTCACAATTGTAAACCTATTTTTACCCCACCCTATATATTTCTATCTGCACAAACTACTATATTTATAGTTTAGATAGCCTTTAAAAAGTTGAAAATATTTTTTACCTTGACACAAATATCCACTTTTGAGAATGTCTAAGCTTATTTTCTCCTAACAAGAAATTCTATCAAAAAAAGTTGACTAGAAATTCCTATTACTCATGAGGAATATATAATGAAGTCCCCACAGAAAAAGAAAATAAAATTTTAATGTTTCTCTACTTTTCTTTTAGATATTATAATAAAAAATATTGAATCATAATTTACATTTTTAAAGTCTGTATATGAAAATAATTAAAAGCACATAAAAAGAGGAACAATTGTAATAATCTGAATAATAAAGATTTATTTAAAAAGTAAAAAAAAAAAAAAAAAAAAAGCACATAATATCAACCTGCCCAGGAAGAAAGCTTAAAATTCTATAACAAGAACATAATATTTTCCCCATCCCCCAATATACCATCATTGTTTAAGACTTTAAATAGCAAATTAGGAAGGTATCTTAGTCTATATTTCTAAGTCAAGTTTAATTGCTCAGACTTATTACTGTTAGCATTGCACTTTCATACCCTAACATATTTGCTTCTCACTATGACCCTTAAGATAGACAACATTATTCCCATTTTACAGGCTCAGAGAGTTTACAATACCATCCAGGGCTGTAGACTCTGTAAATGTAATATTTAGAACACAAACCAAAATTTTATAATGGGTGGATCACGAGTAAAAGCACAGTAACAATAAGGGAAATAGCATTTCCTAGGATAACTGGTAGACCACTTCCTATTAGCAGATTTATGCACTGCAGTTGCAATATAAAGTTTGGAAAGAGTCAGTGGAGTCCAATTTTATAGCTCCTAAATACTGACTCAGAAAATGAATTTTCTCCAACAAACAGTGAAAAGCACCCAGGGATTTTTGAGAAAGAAGAATTAAACCTTTAGCAAGGGGGAGAAAAACATTTATTGAGCACCCATTAGCATGGTTCCATGGGGAAAAATAACTCTAGGATTTATATGTATATATGCATAACCCATGGACATAGGCAATAGTGTGGTGAAAGCCTGGGCGGGGGGGGGGGGGGGGGGGGGGGGGAGAGGGGGGTAATAGGGGAAAGGAGAGGAGGGTAGTGAGAGTGCAAGGGACAGATGTGGAGAGGAGAGGATCCATGAAGGGAAAAAGGGATATTTATAATATTTTCAACAATTAAGATAATTTTTTTTTTAAAGGCTGGAGAAATGAGAAGTATTACATGAGATGGTAAGGCCTTATTTATAAAGCAATTTAAGCCCTATTAAACTGCTTTATCAATAGGTTTTAATTGCTAAAAAAAATCAAAACTCAGGGAGTAAAAATATGGCACAGTCTAATAGAAATTTATCATCTTATCAATAAGATCACACTGATGATCTAAACATCAGAGAGTATCCAATGTTTATAAATAGCCTTACCTTAGATCAGGTGATTCGGACCTCCCATATCGATCCTGCCATTTCCCAACGCTTGAATTGGCTTTTCTGGAGGCAGAACTTGTCTGAGATTGAGAAGAGTTGCTGTTTCTGGTGAGATAAATTTTTTATGTTTTTTTCTCATATTGTTGCCTCTGATCTCTCCCTGGTTCCATCCCCCACTAGCCCCAAACACGATTTTTCTAAAATCCTTAATTATGTTCCTATAGTATCATTTTCTTCAAGTCACATAAAATATTTTCTGTGGTAAGACAACTAATGGTGTTTAAATATAGACGTGTTATCAACATTTTATTAATTCTAGAATATTTTTAAAATATTTAATATAGATGGTACCATGTGAAAATGCAGAAAAGAACCTATGCTTTCTTCAGGTTGTAACATGTAAAATTTATTTCTGAGCTTTTATGAATTAACTAGAGGCTCCGTGCACGAAATTCGTGCCCGGGGGCAGGTTTCCTCAGCCCAGCCTGCACCCTCTCGCAATCCAGGACCCCTCAGGAGATGTCCAACAGCCAGTGGGATCAGGCCTAAACCACCAGTCAGTCATCCCTCTAGCAATCTGGGACCACTGGCCTCTAACTGCTCACCTGCCTGCCTGATTGCCCCTAAACCATTCTGCCTGCCTGCCTGCCTGATTACCCCTAAGCACCTCTGCCTTCCTGGCTATTCTCCCCTAACCACTTGCCTCCCTGCCTGATCACCCCTAACTGCTCACCTGCCTGCCTGATCACTCCTAACTGCCTGCCTGCCTGCCTCTGTCTCTTCCTCAGCCCCCACCAAGGTGGCTTCATCCAAAATGAAATCTGGAAGGTCGGTCAGCTGTCCAGTCTAATTAGCATATTATGCTTTTATTACCTACTCTAATAAAAGAGAAACATTCAAATTGACCATCACTCCACCACGCTCACCAGCCAATCAGGAGGGAATATGCAAATTAGGATGACAAAGATAGAGACCGCCCAGCTGCTCCAGGTGAGGAGTGGCTGGGTGGGACAGGATGCCTGCTATGAAAGGGAGGGCAGGGGGTGAAGGGATCTACAGGAGTGGCACTCCAGCAGCAGCAAAGACTGCAGACTCCAGAGTCTGCAGGGAAGACAAAGATGGAAGATGGCAAACTCCTGCCCGAGTCTGCAGCAAAGATGGAACAGCAGACTCTGGGAGGAGTCTGCAGTGAAGGAGACAGACTCCAGCTGGAGCAAAGGCCTGGGTCCCAGGTGCCAGAGGAAAACTGGTGCTAGAAGCCAAGGGAAGGAAGGCCTATTGCACAAATCTCTTCATGCAATGGGTCTCTAGTTACAGATAACATTAATTTATGCAGTTTAACAAAATCTTATTCAAAATTTTGGTATTTCTTTCCCCATATTCTTCCCTTCCTATATTTTTTAATAAGGTATAATAAGTATTGTTAGAGTAACCAGTTAACAGTAATACTGATATGTTTCATAAAAACCTACACTAAGTAAATATTTCATAAAAATTCATTTCAAAGTCATTTATTCTTACAAAGATTCTAAAATATATACTTTTATGTATGTTTATGTATAAAAACAACACAAAGAATAAATCAGAAAAATGAAATGAAACTGATTATTGACAGACGTGAAAGAAATAGTAGAGTGACAAATCTGAGTATACTTTGATAGCCTTGCTTTGAAATTACATTAAATGTTTTATGTATGTAAAAAGGAAGCATGTCAATAAGCATGAAAGAAAAGAAATGCTGATACTGAAGACAAACATAAGCAATAGAACAAATTATATTTTTTTATGATTAATATAATCACTCTGAAGGTAACTTTGGAACACAGTATTTTGACTAAATACCCTTAATCTAAAAAAAAGAGTTGCAAAGATATCTTGAACTCTTAGTTTTGTAATGTTAGGTATAGATGTTCAAATTTGTTTTGTGTGTATTATAAAATGAAGCAAATGAGAAATATTGAAGTTGGAAACTAGGTTTTCACTGCAGAAAAAGGGAAATGCAATAGAAAAAGAAAAGTACCGAAGCCGGTTTGGCTCAGTGGAAGAGCGTCAGCCTGGAGACTGAAGGGTCCCGGGTTCGATTCTGGACAAGGGCATGTACATTGGTTGCGGGCACATCCCCAGTGGGGGGTGTGCAGGAGGCAGCTGGTCGATGTTTCTCTCTCATCGACGTTTCTAACTCTCTATCCCTCTCAATTTCTCTCTGTGTAAAATCAATAAAATATATTAAAAAAGAAAAAAAAAAAAGAAAAGTAGAAACCTGTAGTGTCAAATATTGAAAAAAAAAAACATGATTGTATATTTAAAATTTATAAACAGAATATACACATGGCAATTTCATATTGAAATTGCTTGGATTTTTTTCCCCCTAGTTCTGCGTACTGAAAAGATCTGGAAAAAAGAAAACCCCAGCAGGAATGAGCATAAACAGTGGCAAGATGTTGTTTTCTTTCTTTTTCTTTTTTTAATATATTTTATTGATTTTCCACAGAGAGGAAGGAAGAGGGATAGAGAGCTAAAAACGTTGATGAGAGAGAAACATCGACCAGCTGCCTCCTGCACCCCCCCTACAGGGGATATGCCCGCAACCAATATACATGCCCTTGACCTGAATCAAACCTGGTCCACAGACTGACGCTCAGTCCACAGACTGACGCTCTATCCACTGAGCCAAACCTGTTTCGGCAAGATGTTGTTTTCTAATGACCATTTCCCACCAAAAGGCATCAGAGTGCCTTTAAGAAATGGCTACCTCCAGGGAAGGGGTAGGGAAGTTATAGGATAAGCCTGGAACATCTGGTCGTGCCAAAATATACAAAAAAAAAAAAAAAAAGGAGGGGACATATCCACAGGTAACAGGAGTTACTTTGAAAAGGCCCCCCTGGAACAATTTGACTATGAATATTAATTACATATATGAATTATATATGCAGTTTATATACCACATACAAAAAAAGCCACATACATACTCTTACATGCATAAAATAAAAATTAATGTTTTACTGATAAATATAAGTGTGTGAAATGAGAAAGCTCATTTTTAAAATAGAATACCAATAAATAAATATAAGAGAAATAAGATAATGGATACTAAAATCCTTTTGACCAGAAAACAGGAGAAGAATCCAGAAAACAAACTCTAATTAAAAATGGGTACAATTCTTTACATACCAAAGTAACATGCTATATATGTTTCTATAGATTGTGTTGGTAATTATCCTTTTTTTTTTCTCGTAGTAACACTGGTAATTTTTCTATCATTTCTTTGTTTCCTTTATACTGTCCCTTTCTACCACTGTCTCCCATCTCTCCTTAGATCCATGTCCATCATGACACTCTCTCCCTTAAGTACACCTCACCATGCTTGTCCCTGCCTATCTCCTGATATAATCTCAACCTCTGTAAAATCCAACAGTAGCTACTCTTCATAGACACATGAATACCTAACAAGGCAAGAGAAACACACCAGAGCAAGATGACTTATTATAAACCCATGGCCATTACCCTCAAGAAAAGCTGGAAATGTTATCTTTCCCCATGTTATCAATTTTTCACTTTATTAACTCATTCCTATCAGTATAGTGATTTTCTTCCATCTTGAAAATCAAGTATTCTCTTGACTTTACATTTCCCTACAGCTACCTCCTAGAAATCCTACCCTTTTCCCTAGTTTATTCACCTCCAAATGACTACTTCAGACTTCCTCTTCTCAAACACTGAACATGCCATCCACAAATCCACATTTTTACCAGATAAACCTGTATCTCTGCTGCTGAGAAAACACTGAAGCAATAACAAAATAATTTTCGGTTGTTCTTATCACCATTATCTACCCAATGCCTTCAGCATATCCTACTTTCCCTTCTGTTATTATGAATTGTCCATACTCCTTCTTAAGGCTAAGCTCTCCACTTGCCTACTACATTCCATCCTCTCTGACCTTAAGGTCACTGCTCTAATAATTGTCCATTCTGTAGTAACTCATTCCTCTAAGTGTACAAATATATTGTAATTTCTTTCATTTGAAAAAAAGCTTTCTGCTAACCCCACATTTCCCTCCAGATACTGCCCCCCTCAAAAAAAAAAAAATCTTTAAGAAATTATCCTTATTTTCTCATGCTAATTCCTCTCTTCCCATTCTCTCTTGAATAAAAAATAGATAAAAATAAAAATAATTTCTTCCCCCCCAAATCTTCATCTTATACCACTGAAAAATATTTTGGGCACGATCACTAATGTCCCTTGGACTTTAAAATCCAAAAGTCATTTTCAGTATTCTTTTTTTTTTTTTTTAATATATTTTATTGATTTTTAACAGAGAGAAAGGGAGAGAGATAGAGAGCTAGAAACATCAATGAGAGAAATATCGACCACCTGCCTCTTGCACACCCCCCACAGGGAATGTGCCCGCAACCAAAGTACATGCCCTTGACCGGAATTGAACCTGGAACCCTTCAGTCCGCAGACCGATGCTCCACCACTGAGCCAAACCGGCTTCGGCCATTTTCAGTATTCTTCTTCTTAGTAAGTATTATTTAATGGTTAATCACTCCGCCTACTCGGAAATAGACTCTTTTCAAGATATACACTGGGTTTGCTTCCAACTTCACTAATTATTCTTCTCTACTGTCTTCCTCTTCTGGCTCATCCTTATTTTTCTGACCTCAGAGTGCCTCAAAGCCCTGCCTTCTATATTTACCCATTCTATAATCTGATTCAGTTTCATCTTATATTATTTAAACACTCCCAAATTTGCATCTTCAGCTCATTATATCTTTCTTCTCCACTCCAGATCCATATAATGTATTTATATGTAAAATTTCCACTTGCATATCTAATAGAAATATCAATTTTACTGTCCTAAACTGAACTTTCAGACTTCTCCATGCAAAAGTTACCACTCCTGTAATCATTTCCATCTCAGTATAAAAGATGTACATGATCTTTTATACCTCTTGAAATGTATCAAATATCTGGCTATTTCTCATCATCTGCACCATTATTACTTTGGTCCAACTTACCATTATCTCTTGCATAGATAATCATTACAACCTTCTAACCAGCCTTCCAGATTCTGCCTTTAATATATCTGTAGTCTGATCTTAATATAGTAGTTGAGACTTTTAAAAACCTAAAGGAGATTATTTCATTCCTCTGCTCAAAATCTGCCGGTGACTCCCCATTCATTTCACTTATAGGAAAGCCAAAGCCCTTATAATGCTCTACATAATCTGGCCCAAGTTTTTAAAAAAGGGAGGTGGGGGGGGAGGTAGGCAAAGTACAGAAAAACTGCTATTGACTTTTAAATAGTTTAATTATAATAGTAGCGTATTTATATCCATAGAGTACTTATTAACTATGTATGTATGTACCACTGTTTTAAAATACTTTACATAAATTAATCTATTTAATATACATAACTACCCTATAAGGGAAGTATTACTACTACATTTTATGGATCAGAAAATGAAAGAGCAAGATTAGGAGATCTGACCAAGGACACTAGTAAGTAAACAGAGGCAGAATTTAAAGTTGGACTCTAGAATCCAAGCTCTTAAATCACTCTACACAATAGAACACCATAAATTCAATGAATGAAAGTTGACTTCTTTTAAAATATGAAAAACAACAAAAGAATACCACATATTAAAAGAATCAATATATCTCAGCTATCATAAGTTCTTAGCCAAACATTTTATGAAACTGTATTTAGTTTAAATAACCATATTTGGAAATGCCTATGACTAGTAATTGTTAAGATGAGAAGAGATAGTCAAATTCCAATGGCTTTGTGACATTTAATTTTAGCTAAAAGTTTCAAGAAACTCTATTTGAGGGCTAAACTACATAAGGCCTCTTTCTGCATTTGTGTATTATAAAATGTAATTTCTTACAGCCATTCATAATTGCAGAATAACAAAACAGAGAACTGTATAAGATAAATACAAGCAAGTAGCACAAAGGATAAATGATCTGGCTAAAAACTAGTAATAGTTGGGTTATTAACTAATTTTCAGGCTCAGAGAAATAATAGATTTAAGTTTATCTAACACATTAAACTGCTAAGATCGAACTTCCTTAGTCTTATCTAATCCTCTACTATTTTCCTGCTAACAGGCTAGCTATTTATCATGTTTAAATTAAAAGGACATCTTCCAGCATATTTACCTCTTACAACTGATATCTTGAGGAACTTCAGCCAAAGTTAGATATTATCACAACAAACCAAAAAAAGAACATGTTTTTAATATGAAGGATCTCCCAGACTGAAATTTCTACAATCTGTTACTAAAATCAGTAAAATGTCTTTAGCAGAATAGATCTGGATTTAAGGTAGTCTAATAATTCTTTATATAAGAATTAGAGGCCTGATACACGAAATACGTGCACACAGGGGAGAGAGGGAATCCCTCAGCACCCTCTCTAATCCAGGACCCCTCGGGGGCAGTCAGACATCTCTCTCGCAATTTGGGACCACTGGTTGTAACCACTCACCTGCCTGCTTGTCTGATTGCCTCTAACCACCTCTGCCTCCTGAACCCTAACCTCTCTACCTGCCTGTCTGATCCCCGCAACTGCTCTCTCCTGCTGACCTGATCCCCCTAATTGTCTCCCCTGTTGGCCCAGTTGCCCCTAACTGCTGGCCTGGTGGTCCCTAACTGCTTTCCCATACTGGCCTGGTCGCCCCTAACTGCTGGCCTGGTGGACTCTAACTGTTCTCCCCTGCTGGCCTGGTGGTCCCTAACTGCACTCCCCTGCTGGCCTAGTTGCCCCTAACTGCTCTCCCCTGCTAGCCTGATTGCCACTAACCACCTCTACCTTGACCCCCACCACTGTGGCTTTGTCCGGAATGACATCCAGATGGATGTCTGGTCTAATTAGCATATTAGCCTTTTATTAGTATAGATACTAAGCACCACCTCTCCTGAATGTAAAATTGTCTATGTACACACAGATAACTATAGTACTATACTTCATTTCTCACTTACTTATATTTTTTTAGATGGAACAGCACACAGATAAGTTTTTCAAAGAATTCACTTTGTACTAAAACAAAGTAGAATGCTTTCAGTTCTTTGGTAGCACATTCAGAGCTTTTATCTTTGATACTAGAGGCCCAGTGCATGAAATTCGTGCACGGGGCAGGGGAAGGGGTATGTGTCCCTCAGCCCAGCCTGCACCCTCTCCAATCTGGGACATCCATCTCACAATCCAAGACTGCTGGCTCCCAACTGCTCACCTACCTGCCTTCTTATTGCCCCTAACCACTTCTGCCTGCCAGCCTGATCACCCCTAACCACTCCCATGCCAGCCTGATTAATATCTAACTGCTCCCCTGCTAGCCTGTTTGCCTCCAACTTCCCTCATCTGCTGGCCTGGTCACCTCTAATTGCCCTGAAGGGTTGAATCGCCTCTAACTGCCCTCCCTTGCAGGCCTGGTCCCTCTCAACTGCCCTCCCATGTTGGCCATCTTGTGTCCACATGGGAGCAGCATCTTGTGTGTTGGAGCGATGGTCAATCTGCATATTACTCTTTTATTAGATAGAATAGAGGCCTGGTGCATGGGTGGGGATAGGCTGGTTTGCCCTGAAGGGTGTTCCGGATCAGGTGGGTGTTCCCTTGAGGCGTGGGGCGGCCTGAGCAAGGGGCCTATGGTGGTTTGCAGGCTGGCCACGGCCCCTGGCAACCCAATCAGAGGTCCCGGTATTTGGAATTTATTTACCTTCTACAATTGAAACTTTGTAGCCTGAAGCAAAGCCAAGCCTCCCTCTCCCTCTGTTGCTACAGCCATTTCTGTTGGAATTTGTTTACCTTCTATAATTGAAACTTTGTAGCCTTGAGTGGAGGCTTAGGCCTGCCAGGGTAGGCGGAAAGCTTGGCTTCCTCCGTTGCCTGGGAAACCCAAGCCTCCCTCCTGCTCTTTGTGGCTGTAGCCATCTTGGTTGGGCTTATGTGCATACTGGCTCTGATTGGCTGGTAGGCATAGCAGAGTGATGGTTAATTTGCATATTATTTTTTTATTAGGTAGGATAGCACTAACACAAGGAGAAGATACCAATGCCTTCAATAAACTGAATTATAATAATCTCACTAACCTGCTTGGTGGGAGTCCACTCTTAAACAAAGAAGGAGGAGAAGTAAACTCAGCTTTTGTAGATGGAAGTGCTGCTTCCTTCTCAGAATTTCCAGTTCTTCCCTGCTGTACCTAAAAAACAACAACAAAAAAGTTATTAAGTTGTTTAATTTAATGAAAAACTCAAAAATAATACAACTGAAGGTGTTCAAATAAATGTATGACATATGATTTATGATTTGAAATTAAATGTTTTATTGCTTGATATTTAATAACATTTACCTATTTTAGAATAGTATTAGATGAAAGACACCAAAGATAGATTTTGGGATTCAAGTGTTCCTGATGATTAAAAATTTCACATTAATTCCACTTAAAGTCCACTAAGCTATAGTTCTTTAGGACTTTCCTTAATTCTCTTAGATTACCACTTTACCACTCCATGTTTCAGAGTTCAAGAAAAGCTTTGAACAATATTTCCCTTCTATATTCACTACCCTTTAGCTAAGAAAATCACCAGTGGCCATTTTAGCCATTCTGATCATTTTCTATTCACACTGTGATTTGTTGCAATACAAATATTAATGATCTACTCCTGCAATTCTAAACCACTCCTCACATTTTCCCACCATTATCAATATCCTGCCAGTTCTATACACTGGCAAGCTGGAAGTCAGTCAGCTGTCTCCTTATTACATTTTCTCAATATATTTATTCCACAACTTCTCCCAGATTTGCTCACCTTTTCTGTTCCTATCAGATCCTTTAAGTATGAACTAGTTGTTCTCCTTTACAATGGTGAAATGAATCTCTTTTATGAACTCTTGCTTTTATACCCACCTTCCTATCTTAAAACTGTAATTATTATATTTAAACAATATAAGTTCAAGTTGCCCTACACTTGAATAACATCACACCATATTCTGTGCCTATTTGTATTCTACTGGTCCTTTTCAGACTAAATTCAGCATTACTCTCCTTTCCTCATGAAGCAAAGGCCAAGACAATCTCAAACCTCAGACAAGTCAGTCAAACCATTGATTCAATTCCAAAAACCATCTACCTCTCAAATAATCATTCTGAGAAAAAGAAACCTTTACTTATATATTTGAGCCATTATAGTAAGATCTCTTATTAATACTTCTGAACGCAACTCCTAATTGGTGCCCCCATATAATTAGGGTTTTACATTAGCATTTTATTTGAAAAAAGAGTTCTGCTAAAAAAAAAAAAAAAAAAAATCCATTTAAAAGGCACTGAACCTAATGAGGAGTGATGAGGATCAGAAAAAAAAATGGATTTGATATTTGAGAGGTAAGATTGAAAGAATGTAGTGATGGGAACTAAACATAACTCATTCATCACACATTTACTAAATATCTATTAGTACCAGAAGCTGAGACCGCACAAAAAATACAACAAAACTCCAGACTGTGGGAAAAGACAGACATAAAAACAATGAGAGCAATATAATAAATGCTATGAAAAAAGAATCTATGAGATAAAAGATACTATGAGAACACAGAAAAAAGAAGTGCATTACTCTTCCACGGAATGTCAGACACTATGGTCTCAAACTGTTCCCCTGAGCTCCAGTAATTTATATCCGACTTCTTACATGCCTGACGAGTATCTAAAAACAACATGGTGAAAACAAAACTACCGATTTCCCACTATGCTCCAATCTGATTCTAAGTCTTTATCACTCAAGTAAATGGCGCCATCATTTTCTGAGCTGCAAAAGACAAAAAAAAAAAAAAAGCAATTATCCAATACATATGAACATCCAATGTTAACTTTACCTTGTAATATATTAGAGGTCTGGTGCACAAAATTCGTGCACTGGGGGGAGGGAGATCCCCTCAGTCCAGCATGCACCCTCTCACAATCCGGGACTTCTGGCTCCTAACCACTCATGTGCCTGACTGACTGATTGCCCCTAATCGCTTCTGCCTACCAGCCTGATCGCCCCCTAACCACTCCCCTGCCAGACAGACTGATGTCTAACTGCTCTCCTGCCAGCCCAATCGCCCCCTACTGCCCTCCCCTGCCAGCCTGGTCACCCCAACTGCCCTCCCCTGCTGACCTGGTTGCCCCAACTGCCCTCCCCTGCTGGCCTGATTGCCCACAACTGCCCTTTCCTGCTGGCCACCTTGTGACAGCAACCTTGTGACGATGCAGGGGCACAAGGGCCACCGTTCCTTTTATTAGTATAAATACCAAACTCAAGCATTCATGACAATGTCCACTCCTAAAAGCCAGGTCAAACCCACTGACACATCTCAACCATTCTACTAAATTAACTTATATTTCTGCTTTGGTCTCACCTGTCTAAATTCCATCCTCTATACACAGTCAAAGCAATCTTATTAAAGTATAAATGAATTCATGTCTCTCCCTGCTCAAAATTCTCTAATAGTTTCCCACTGCAAAAAAAGTAAAAGCTAAACTTCAATGGTTTACATGGCATGGGCCTTGGAAACCTCTCCCATCTTCTTTTCCTCAATTCCTGCCCAACTTATCTTTACTATGTCTAGTCATAATGGCCTTTTAAAAAATTTTAGCATATAAATTCTTCTTTGTAACAGCTTTTGCACTAGATATTCTTTTTACTTGGAATATTCTCTCCCCAGTTTGTCTCATGGATTATCTCTTTCTAATCGTTCAACTATTATTCAAATGTCTTCTTGGAGTGGCCTTCTCCAATCATTCCTAATCTCTATCCTACTACATTTTGTATTTTCTTCATAGAATTTCTCATTAGTATTGTTATCTATAGTTGAATTATTTACTGTTGTATGGTTATAGTCTGTTAGCTGACACTTCAATATAGAATCTTTGAAAACATGGACGACGTTCAGTTCAAATCTATATCCCAAGTACTGCAAAACAATGCCTTGCATGAAATAAGTGCTTAATATATGTCATTTGACTAACTTGGGGACTCAGCTTAAATGGCAGTTCTTCAAAGTCTTTCAAAGCACACAGAGTTTATAACTCAATAATTTTTGGCATTACATAATTAATACCTAAATTACCTATGAAGTCAGATAAACTCTAAGATACAGGATCCATGTATGCCTAAAATGTTCCACCTCCCCTCAGCACCCAACCTGAGATACTTCCCGGCACAGTTGATGCTCAATTAAAAATTGGAGTGGGGGAGGAGAAAGGGTTGGAAAAGCAAAAAGAAAAGGGAAGAGAGCATAAGTAAAAAGAACAGTAAGAAAATGTAGCAGAAAGATACATTTTAATACACGTAAAAATTGCTTGTGTTTCCTCAGTTTTCTTTTTAATTTCTTCATAGTACATTTCTTCTATTAAACAATTCTGAAAACCACCATTTTGGCAACCCTCCTAATCTACTTCAATTATTATTATCTACTTGCTTGTCTTTAGGACTGCACTCAGGATTATGCATGCTCAAAATTTGTTTAATCAGAACCTACTATTTTTTCACATGATCTAATATTTTACCATATGATTGTAAGATACCATGACTGATTTTCTAAAAACAAATTCATGTCAGAGCTTACATATCCAAACAAAAGTTGGCTAAAGTCTGTAACCTTGAGAAGTTAAATATTTACCTAAATTATTCTACCACTGTACCAAAATTTAAATTATTTTTTGAAATTTCCTTCACTTGCCCTAGATAGTATTATTTATAAAAGTTTTACATTATAAACAAAACTAGAGACCCAATGCAAAGGTTTCAAGATGGCAACAGAGTAGGTGAATCTTGCTCATACCTCCACTCAGAACTAAGTGGAAATAAAAACTAAATAGGGAAACAATCATCTTGAATTACCAACTAAAGCCTATCTGAAAAGGAGACTTATAATGAAAGACTGGCAGAAGAAACCACCAAGAGACTACACCTGTACAGCATGGTGCACGCTGTGGCTGCGGTTCAGTCTCATAGTCAGGCAGCCTGAGGGTAGATCCCAACAAAGCCAACAGCAATCAAGGCCCAATTAAAAAGGAGAGCCCACATAACCCACAAAAGGGACATTCCTAGAGCACACAGCTCAGGAGATCAAGGATACTGTACCTCTGGGTCCCAAAGGACACCTACTAAAATTAAGGCCACACCATGAAGATGGGGAGTAATAGTGGCTCAATCATAGAAACAAACAAAAAGAGACAGTCATATGGGGAGACAAAGAAACAGGCCCCAATTGAAAGAATAGGAGGAATCTAAAAAAAAAAAAAAAAAAAAAAAAAAAGAGGTAAATGAAATGGAGGCAAGAAATTTATCAGCTACAGAGCTTAAAGTAATGATTATAAGTATGTTCAAAAAACTTAGTGAAAACTACAACACTTGAAAAAGGATATATAATACAAACGATAAAAAATAACCAGTCAGAAATGAAAAATGACATCAAGAACACACTGCAAGGGTCCAGCTGGAATGGTTGAGCATCATCCTCTGCACAAAAGGATTCCCAGTCATGGCACATACTTGATTTGCAGGTTGGATCCCTGGTCAGGATATGCATGGAAGGTAACTGACGTCCTCTCTTTCTCTCTACCACTCTTCCTCTCTCTAAGCATGTCCTCAGGTGAGGATTTTTAAAAATATGATTAAAAACTGGGCCAAAGAACTAAATAGATATTTTCCTGAAATGATACCCAAGTGGCAAAAAAAAAAAAAAAAAAAAAAGACCATACTGAAAGGAATAAAGTAGTTGGATGAAGCAGAGGAATGAATTAGCAATTTAGAAGACAAGATAGAAAACAAACATTCAAACAGCAGAAGAAAGAAAAATAATTAATTAGAATAAGGATAGTTTAAGGGCAAGTTAGGACAACATGAAATATAAAAACATTAGCGTCATAAGGGTGCCAGAAAGAGAAGTGAGCAAGGGACAGAGAACATGTTTGAAGAAATGACAGAAAACTTCTCTACCTTGGTGAGGCAAAAACACACACAAGTTCAGGAAACACACAGACTCCCAATCAAGATGAACCCAAAGAGATCTATACCAAGACATATATCATAATTAAAATGGCAAAGGTTAAAGACAAAGAGAGAATCTTAAAGGCAGCAAGAGGGATTAGTTAATTATCTACAAGTGAGTTCCCATAAGGCTAGCAGCTGATTTCTCAAGAAAAACTTCAGGCCAGAT